TTGTGGGATTTCGTTATTGTTTTGCGGATTCGCCATTGCTTCTCTTCTTCTGGCGGTATTGGTATTGTTAGTGTATATTCTACCACTTCTCAATAACATACAATACTTCTCGAAAAAGATGATATTCTGTATAAAAAGGTTAAACTTCAAAATCAACACAGGGTCCCACCGGGTGTGCCAATTTGTTTACCGTGGGAATTGGTAAACAACCGCTGATCTTCCAAAAGGTTACTTATTTGGTGACTCGCAGGATCGATCAGATTGATCCTAAGACATGGTTGATTTTGGGGTTTTGACTAAGTTTGATAATGGTTAAATGACAAGAAAATAAAGAAGCTTTATGTAAATTGCATGAAGAAGAAAACTTGATAGAATAAAGAAAGGCTTGAAATGAAAGGCTTCGACTGGAAAAGTAAAGGAGAAGCAATAAAGTTCTGGAAAATAAATGACTTTGATTAATTAAAGTGGTGTTTCACACATACATTCTCAACAATTCTTTCTCTCACGCTGGGTACTCGAATCTATATGAGTGACTTGTATATAATTGTGAACACACGCGAAAAACTGCGTGAACTACTAATATTTATACTAAACACATCCCAAGTAACCGTCGGGCAGTTACGCTGCTTCGAGATGACTCCACTTGGCACGTTCACAACGTTCGACGCTCCAGATCTTGGCACGCTGCACTTGGTAACCGCTGGGAACCGTTTTCCCTCCAAACGTTTGAATCTCAAACTGTTCTACTCTGAACAATCGAACACCTTCGTCGAGAAGCACCTTCGACGAGAAGCACCTTCGACGTCGAAGGCAACCAAATTCTCCCTTGGAATAAATTCTCTAAGTACATTGCTATCTTCTGATGAGCATTTCGACAGAACCAGTTGGTCGAAAACATTCTTCAGCTTTAATGGCTTACATTAATAAAACAAGGGTGTCGAATTTAGGAGCCAACACATAGTTTGAGTGTTATATTGAAAACAAATAAGTGTTAAGTGTTATGTTAAATAAATCTGTTAAGGTTGATCTGACATGATACTTTATTTTTCTCACATTGATTTTTATAGTGGAAACGATGACAGCTACACAAGCGAATCCAGTGAGGAGACTCTTTCTTCCAATGACAATTTCTCATCAGAAGAAAGTTATGGCCCTGATCCTAATGCAGCACGATACAACAATAATGGAGATTATTGATGAGATGTGAAAATAAAGTCAGCTGCTAAAGCCATGAAGAATGTGTTGGTAAGTTGATAGTTGAGTACTTTTTAAGCTAGGCTTATATTCATAAAATGTTTGTGTAAACACGGTTTATTTAATGTGCAAAATTTTCCCAGACACGCATCATAAGAATGCTTACTATGGAGCCAGCGGGGTATCGAAATGTTATACTTGGACACTGGAAGAACATATGGATGTGATATCCTTAAAGCAAAAAGGGATGAAGGTGAAAAATTCATTTGGAAGGGTTGGACTGAATTTGCAAGAAGACGTCAATTAAAGAGAGGAGATGTCGTGAACCTCACTTTGGTTAATTCGTATGATAGGTTGACTGTGTCTGTAACAAAGCGTTTAACATGATGTGGATTTATATAGACGGGTGTTAAAATTTGTTGGAGTCAAAAAGTGGGCAGTGTTTTGTGAATGGTATTTGTTATCATTGTGATTGTTTTAAGATTTAAGTATTAATTATATGCTTTGTATTACTACTGATCTGAAGACATTTTGAAGTTAAGTTAGAAATTGTATGACAACTATGTTGTTTATTTTAAGTGATTAGTTGGTGTATTGATAATTTGGTTTTGATACGTAGCAATAGGTAAGATCATTTGTTGATGCATGTTTTGTATTGCTACTAATATGATGACATTTTGAAGTTAAGTTAAAAATTGTATGACAACTATGTTGGTTATTTTAAGTGATAAGTTTGTTTGTTGATAATTTGGTTATGATACGAGCAATAGGTAAGATGGTGTGTTGGACAGTATGAAAAATTTAAGTTAGCAGGTCAAAGGTTGGTAGAAAATAAGTTTCATTGACCTGATCAATGGAATTGTATTGTTGTAGTTGAAATGATAATAGATTTAATGTTTTATAAGGAATGGTAGGATGTAGGAGAAAGTTAGGTACAGCATTAATGGTATAAGTTAATAGTGGATGTTGCAGAGTTATTGTAGAAAGAAAAAGTCATTTTAATGGTTACATCAGTGAAGTTTCATAATATTATAAGTATGCATATGTTGTTTTAAGTTGGGGTTGTGTCTACGTTTGCATAGTGTAACGAAATTAAAATAAAATGTTGCAAGGAAATGAGTATATAGGGTCAGCATTTTGTAAAAAAACATAACAGGAAATATAACATATATGAATAAAAATATTGTAAGTATTATAAAAAGGAAATGTTTTTTGTCTAAAACTTCAGAATGCAATATAATATAAGGATAGGAAATGCAAGTTAAGAAATGAATATAGTTATTGAATTTACCTGTTAAGGATTTAAACAAATCTTGGAATTTAGGTTTCTCAATTGGAATATCATATTGTCGTTCATCATATACCAAGCGATTACCAAGAAAATCCATAACATAATCATCTGGATACGGTATTGGCTTAAACTCTTTTAAGCTCCTTCTATTTTTTTTTTGTAATTGCTTCTCAATTTCCATCAAAGTAAATTATTTTAATTCTTTCTCTGATAGTGATAATTCTAATTTAAAAGTTATAGTAATCAAATTAATAATATATATATATATATATATATATATATATATATATATATATATATATATATATATATATATATATATATATATATATATATATATATATATATATATATATATATATATATATATATATATATATATATATATATATATATATATATATATATATATATATATATATATATATATATATATATATATATATATATATATATATATATATAGAAAACATAAAGATGATGTTATTAGTAATATTAGATATAAAATAAAGTATCTGGATTCATTGACAAAACTCTTTGTTCATATAGTATTCCGTCAGATAAGTAAATCCAAGTGTTACACCAAACATGATCAGGTCGATTCATAGAAGCTGATAACAACATTATAATAAAGAGTTTTCATAGAAAGACACCAGAAACCCAATTATACGCCTCTTTTATTGCCTCAATGAACTCCTTGTCATCTTGTAGAAACCCCATTGCAAAACATACCTCTCGAAAACTTTTATGTTTAAAACCTTCAATAGTTTTGAGATTATCATAACTTGTTGGTCCTTTTTTAACAGTTAACAACATCCTCATATAATACAATTCTCCTGTTGAGGGTGGGACCCAAACTAATCTACCAATTATGTAACCTCTTTTCCTTAGTTTCCAAGTTCTTGTTTTTTTTACATAAACAAATTTAGAGACAAATTGGCCATATGTCAACAGTTTTGCTCCCTCATATTCATTATTTGTAACAAACCATGAAGTAAACATTGATTCAGTTACACTTACTTTAAGTAGGACATTTCTAATTTGTTCAAAGTCTTTGTAGTACACTGAATTTTCTCCTTCCCAGTGAAAAAACAATCTTTCAATAGCCGGTTTCCTTCCATGAATAGAATATGAAAAGATTCTCCAACATGCTTCACTTGGAGACACACGTCTACAATCAACGTATTGCTTGATTTTGTCAACATCACCGACACATGTTCTATCAGTTGGAACTATTACAGCCGATATTCTATCGGAATTCTTGTTTATGTACTTGAAGAGATATCTTAATTGAAGTACTTTGATTGCACCATTCCATATTTATGTGTGCTTCATACTTCATTAGTAAACTTGGACTGTGGGGTACAACATGACTGTTGTGAAGTTTTATTCCATTCTTCTCAATTGTATACCCATTATCTCTTCTTTTGTATACAGGATATCCACCTTGATCGACTATGGTCACATCTTGGAACTTCTTTGGATAAAACTTGCTACACTTTCCATTCTTCATGCATGGACATTTAGGATTTTCCAAACCACAAGGTCCATGTACCATGTGGTTCTTCACCAAATTATACAACCTTGAGTGTTTCACAGGATCTGGAACCTCAGCTGGTATTATTTTATCGATATCACTTGGTTCTGAATATTTATTAGATGGATGCAAAAATATAAAAATGTGGGCATGCGGCAAGCCTCTCTTTTGGAATTAAATTGTGTACATATCTTAAATATTATTTGATAAAACATGGAAACTATTAAACAATAGTAATATAGAAATAATAAGTATGTTTTATAGAAAGTGTATATGACTTACAAGCAAGGACTTTGCCTAAAACACCTTTTTTTTTTGTGACGTCAGTCAAAAGGCTATCAAACTTCATTTTAAAGACCCTAGCAATGATTCCAGGTCTATCATGTGCCTTTAAGTTGAGAGGATTCAAAGCTCTTTGAATTTATGGTCAATTCGGGTTGCAAGTGAAAGTAATAAATAGGTCTGGAAATCCCACTTTATTGCATATAGCCATTCCGTCATAGTACAACTGATCCATAAATCTCCTACTACCAACATAGGATGCCGGTAAAATGCCTCCTTTTTCGGTACTTGAACCTTCGGTTTGACTTTCATCTCCATCTTGATTTAGATTGTTATATTTAGACACTCTAAGTTTAGACTGGTTGTTTCTAAGCCATTTCAACCTCTCTCCTTCAAGCATTGTGTAACCATCAACTAAAAATTGTTGAAATAACCTCCTTGATGATAAAAGAGTTTTGCCTTCTTGTAGCCGTGTTTGAATTCGAAAAGCAAGCCATTCTCTAATAGCCAGCCTATTTCTTGGATTATCATCAAATATGTCAAGATCTCTATGAGAAACATTTGGTCTATAACCATCTTCACCATATGGAAATATTAAAGGATATTGGAAAGCGAGATAGCTAGCATGGAACTCATCAATGCGTTTAAGTTTTCCTCCTTGTTTTTGCATAATAATGTCTCTGTTCAGCTGTATCAATGTCCCCAACAATCAAGACTGCCACCTCAGAAACAATAGGTTGGTTGTACACTCTTCCATCAGTAGTTCGATTTGCTATTAACTTGAGATTTAGATTGTGCACATTCCCTTGATTAAGTCTTTGTCTTGCCATCAAGAAGCTCTTTTCATGTATCTTATATTTGTACAACATGTCAGACAAATTCTTAACAATATGTGGATCAATGTTGCTCTTGCTATTGTAATGTTATATAGAATAAGCCATTATAAATGTGTGAAAGAGCAGGTATGTCATATTTTTTGTTGTTGTAGTTAAAAGTTTGTGCATATATTGTAAAGAAATAATTATATAGGAAAAGAAAATTGTAAGAAAACAGAACAACAATAACTACATACCGTACACCTTCTATTCTATTTGAAACTTCATTCTCCGTGTCATAAATGTAAAGTTGAGAAAATTTGGGTGGTTGTCCTTAGGTTGGCAATAAACTCCCAATTCAATGATAAGATTGTCCTTGGATGCAGATCATTGGTGGGCCACGAAGATTTTTGAATTTGTTGTCCAACTTAGCATCGGGAGATGTGAAAGCAAACATCATGTTGTATGTTCGCAATTGAGTTTGAAAACTTTTACTATCTTTTTCATTTTTATCAAATAGCAAATGTTCTAAGATTTGTGGTGGATCTTTCAAGAATGATAGTTCAATTTTTCCATTTCCACAACATAAGCTGAACTTTGGATTTGCAGAATGTTTGTGCTTGTCCTTCCTCTCTTGGTACCACATCAAAGCATTACAATATCCACATTCCATTTGTGCATCACCAAGATCAGAATATTCTGTGTATAAAAGAAAGTTTCCAGACAAGTATGATATTATTCCTGTTGGCCTTGAAATCAGAATTTAGCTATTATTCAAGTTCTATAACTGGTGTACCTTCACGGTTACATCCGGGTTGGTTAGCAGTTGAGAATGGAGGACATGGATTGTCATCTCCGAGGCTTTCGTCATTAGATGATCCTTGTACTATTGTATAAAAACCAAAGTCTTAGTCACATACATTACAATTAATATGTTTGGTTATGGGAATATATATGTTTGCATAAGGATTATGTTGAAACTTGATAACCATACTTTAATATATATATATATATATATATATATATATATATATATATATATATATATATATATATATATATATATATATATATATATATATATATATATATATATATATATATATATATATATATATATATATATATATATATATATATATATATATATATATATATATATATATATATATATATATATATATATATATATATATATATATATATATATATATATATATATATAGCAAGAGTTTAATATGGAAAGTGTCAATATGAAGTAACTGTAAAAAAATAATATAACCTTCAAAGAGACAAATATTCATAACTACCTAAGAAAGGATCATAACCATAATCATTATCATCATCACTATCGCCATCACTTTCAAAATCCAAGTTAATCAAAGGTTTAAAAACATTGCATTTGTTTGGCCTTGAGAATGTTTGTGATGTTTCACTAATATGTACTGTCGGAGAAACAAAAGTTGCAGAGCTGTAAATAATGAAATGATCATAAGTCAGAATCAACATCAAATTCAAAAAATCGGGTGTTTGGTAATACATAGATACATTACATAGGAGGATTGGGAGGAATTGAATTTTGGCCCTCTACAGATTTATTTGGTGGAGTTAAATTAATATGATCTGTGTGCATAAGGTTGTATGCTCTATCTAGAACTCCAAAAGTCTTTTTTGGACGACCCCTCCCACATTTATTGTGTGTGGTGTTTGGATAATTTGGATTTGTAGGTGAATTATTGTATATTTAGATAAGATTAATTAGCTATTAATAATCAAAGAAATTTATGTAACATTGTATCATAACTTGCATGGGTGTAGCCGATGAAAATTTGATATCTGATTGATTAATTGATGTTTGTCCAAGTTGAAGTAGTACGGAATGGTTTTGATTTTCTTTCCCTGCTTTAGTTTCCACTGTGGAAAACACTGAAAGTAGGTTTGTCCCGATGCTATTGATGTCCAACACTTTTGGTGGTGTGTGAAAAGTGTGTTTGGTACGAGAAGGTTGGGTCTGTGGCATTATATTTTCCTGGTTTATGTGAGAAACACTTGGTACTGACAGATCAGAAAGTGGATTCCTAATGGCATGAGGGGTGTTGTTAAATGTGGAAGTATCATGTTTGAATTGTTTGAATTTCTTATGTTTCATAATGCTAAAACGTCGGAAGGGGATCTTTTTGAAGTAAATTTCGTCCACAAAAAAGCGTCATGAATAATGGCACTGTAATTTGCTAGCCTGCTTTGAAAATGAGTAGCATAAAATATAATAAATTGAATAATTTTGGGTCATCTAACGCCATTACGATGTAACAGTACATTGTAAAAAGATAAAATTAGGAGGGAGTAGGAGTATACCTGATTAATGGGTGATGTTTATAGGTTTGCTCCATTAGATGCAAACAGAGTTTAATTATCTACAATTATAATGGTTGTTGCAGTCTTAAATTTAATAAACTCTATCAGAAGTAAATATGGAAACAAAATTCACATATCAGTATAAATTTATCTTACGTCTCTATATCCAAACGTTTAAGTATGGATGTTGAACTTCGGTTTTAAACAATGGTAAAAGTGGCAGTGCAAAGAAACTTCAGTCACTAACTGTATGATAACAATAATGGTGAGTAAGGTTGTAGTTTAAATGGAAAAGAAACTGAAGTCCCTAACTGTATGATAACAATAAGGCTTATAGTTTGAGAAGCTGGGTAGAAGTATTGAAGTTCAAATATGTTGGATGGAACTGGTACTGCCAAACACCCCTGCGTTAACTGTAAACAAAGGACAAAGGGAAAAATTCAACCTAAAAAACATTTAATACCAATGGTAGAGAGGTTATGTCCATGTAGGCAAACTGGATAAAACAAATAGTAACCGAACTGTGATAAAATGAAGTTGAGTTGGAACTATGTGTAAGTGATTAGACAGGTCACTGTACTAATAGGTGAGTAGCAGGTCTGAAAAACTATCACCAAGGTTAATTATTGAACCTAGTAAGTAGTAAAGAGGCATGAAAAGATGCATTAAGGAGTTATTTTGCAGTAGGACAGAAATCGAAGCCAGGTTGTAGTTTATATAGCAAGTAGGATGTGTTGATGATAGTCATTGTTATTAAGCAGGAAAGTACCTTTAATACCAGCCAAAAAAGTTTACTCATTATCGTTTGGAGATAAATTCGTACGTTTGGACTGCAATGTAACTTTTTAATAGTATAAATTTATTCATTTTAAGGTGTAGACAGTACAAATGTAAATAAAAAAAGGTACAGATAAATTGTTGTGAAAGTTATAGTTTGGACTCTATAGGTAAAATTTAATGTAACATGTACAAAATATAAGATGTTAATGGATATATAATTTTATAAGATATAATTTAAAAGCTGAGAAAACGTAACTGTATACTTTAAAAGTGTGAAGATTTGAAAAGTTGTTCCCCTTAAATTATACTGAGATCTCCCCAAGCAGGTCAGGTTAAATGGACTTTGTTATTGAAAATTGTACGGTTTAATATGTGTTGAATATAAGTCCCTCTTACCAAACTGAAGCATTAATAATGAAACATTGTGAATATAAATACCAATATTATACGAATAATGGTTGGACATGAAAATATAAAAGGTATCAAATCTTCAATTAACTTAAGGATGACACCATCAACCATGAGTTGTTAACAAATACAAGTTTGTTAATTTTATGGTAAGTAGTGAAAAGATAACTAAAACATTGTTCCAAACAGAAGTTGACATAAAAGATCTGTTCAACAAATACATGATTACTCAAAATATATGTTTTTCATGGAAGATACCAAAACAAAATCTTGTGTCCCAAACATTTTGCACGACAATCACAAAAAAGGCAGAATTGATCTTTACTTATTTTTGGTGTTCCTTCCAGACTTGGTCTTTGTCGCTTTTTTTGCAGAAAGTTTTGGTGATAAAAGATCAAGGTCTTTTGGATCTTGAACTGAATCAAGTGACAACCTCTTTTAAGGGGTGTTGGAAATGCTGGCTTCGGGGCTCCAATTCTGTGTTGCAGATGTAGTTGTCTGAAACATATGCAGCAATGTATGTTAGTGTGTTCAAAATGATCGTATAAGGAGGTTTCATTAGCTTAAATGCGGAATACATAAAGACTTACTTTGGAATGAGTAACATTAGTCTGTGTGTTTACAACATTGTTGTCTTCTAGGCAGAGTACGACCTTTCCCTTAGGAGATTCATCCTTGTTGGTGATGGTTAGACAAGCCTAAAAGCAAGTGTGCAATATGTTAGCATATTGGACTTAAAAAAATAAATTGAGTTGGATTGTTAATTTGCATACCTGAGCAGGTGTAATAAATTCTTCTATCTGCTGCATCACCTCACGATCTTGAGTTAGTCTAACTATAGATGCTTGTCTGTAGTAAGACTGGTATTTAGCACGAAAAGAAAAGTCTTTGTCCAACAGATGGTCAAGGTGTTCGGGATAAATCAGAGGATGGTCCTCATTTGTCTATGATGTGTAATGCAATAAGTATAAGTAAGAGTTGTCATGTATAATATTGAGTAATATGCAATATGTACAATTATGGAAATTAGGATTTACAGCCTGTATTGTCCAAGACTTTTGTAAATATAGAATGGGGCTTTAGTAAATCAGAAGTAAGACTGAAGCATTATAGGCTGAAGTAAATAGTAAAGCTGAAGTAAATAGAATTATATGATCATATAAGAGAAAATCATGATATGTCTAAAAATGTTTTACATTGGATTGAAGATTTATTTCAGAACAGAAGCAAAATAGGCTGATCAGATAAGACTTATTCATGATTAGAATCAAAATAATGGGATGACATATAGAATCTAATAGTTTGGTTGCAAATATAGTTTGTATCAGCAGCAATATGGTGAAATGTAAATTTTAGATGGCAATGAATTATAGTATGAGCACATTTGATGTAAAATAAAAAGTATACTTTGGTTGACAAAACAGTTTGTACCAGGAGCAGTATCTTCAAATGTAAATTTCAGATGTCAATGGTGATGTAAAGTACAAACCTTTTTCATTATCTGTCTTAGTGCATGAGCCGACATGCCAACATAAGGAATACACTCCTTGTCCCAAAACACAAAATTAGCAGTCTTGGATTTGTGTCCAACCTTAATCTCAATGTTATACCTATACGGGGGGACATAAACAATAATAAGGTATACTACAAATATCTTTCATTGATATGCATAAAATTTAAAATATGACAGTGTTGTTTAACGAAGCTTACTTAGTTATCAGGGTTGAATTGTTATCAAAACAGTTGCATTGGAATGGGGAGCCTGGAGATTGGTTGGTTTTGTTACAAGTTTGACACAACTCATAATACCACCCGAAAGGGTTAGCCTTGAACCTCACTGTCTTTCCAACTGTATTGCAGAAGGTTTGCTACATAAATTAAAGTAGTGATTACAATACATGGATAACAGGAACATAGTAGTCGTCAGGTGAAGTAAAATAAATTCCAAAAGGGTAACAAACTTCAGTAAGAATTGTGATCTCAGAAATGATTTTAACATCCTTGGTGAATGAGAACGCCCTGTCATCGGTTGCTTCTTGTGAACATGAATTCAGAGAAATTGAATGGGTAGCATCCTGATCTTGATTACCTTCCAGAAATTTGTGATATACACAAGTTTCCATCAAAATTATATAGTAAGGATATTAACATTATATTAGTAATAGACAAATGATATCATATTACTATACTTTGTTTTGAACTCCTCAACTTGTGGATGGTTAAAGTTCAGTAGTCTTGAGCCATTCCACGCATTAGAAATAGTAAGCTCTCTGTTGGATGTAAAAAATAGGCAATCATTCTAATGTAATGACAACGCGATATTTTGATGAAAATAGTTTTACAAAACCTAAGCT